CCCCACGCTCACATTAACTCGCTCACTTCACCGCGGCTGCCTCCCCTGCCCCCACGCTCACATGTAGGGCGTCACTCTCACACGCCGGGCCTCCCTGGGGCCGCCACGCGCTCACATGGTATCCTCGCTCACTCTCACGCGTTGTCCCTGCCCACGGCTCACATGGTACTCTCGCTCACTCTGTCACACCGGGTGCTCTGCCCACCCACGCATCGAGCACATGTAAACTCCGCCTTCACTCTCACACGCGTGCTCGCCCTGGCCCCCACGCTTCACATGTAACCTCGCTCACTCTCACACGGCGAGCTCCCCTGGCCCACGCTCCATGATACCTCGCTTCACTCTCCACACGGTGCTCCCTGCCCACGCTCACATGTACCTCGCTCACTCTCACACGGACGTGCTCCCCTGCCCCACGCTCAACATGTAATCTCGCTCACTCTCACACGCGCTGCTCCCCTGCCCCACGCTCACATGTATCCTCGCTCACTCTCACACGCGTGCTCCCCTGCATTCTCCTGTGGAGCTGAGCTGACCTCAGTGGGGTGCTGCAAGCCAGGGCCTCACACCGGCCTCTCGCCCTCCACAGCCCTGGGGTCCAGGCTCCTGCAGGAACAAGCGCAGGCCCCCGGGCTCCCTGGAACCTCCCGGAAGGCAGCAGAGGGTCACGGGGGTCACCCGCAGGGGCGCAGGGAGGCCTCGTCACGACCGGATTCCAGCCAGGCTGGCCTGATGCTCCTGGGGGTCCTCAGCACACGCCCCTTCGCCCCAGCATGTGCTTCTTTCCGGGGAACCCACACTCTGGCTGAGCAGAGCCGTCCCCTCCAGGTCAACAGCACCCGGGGTGGCTCTGCAGCGCCCCACTCCGCGCCTGCACAGGGACGGTGGCCCCAGTGCCCTTTGTGACTCGCTGGTTAATGAGAAGCCGGTGGGGAGGTGCTGCCGGTGAGCGAATAAAGGCCCTGTCCTTTCGTCTGCCCAGACAGGAGCATCAGGACCAAGGTGCTGGCCATGTCCCAGCTGGTGGAATGCGTCCCCAACTTTTCGGAGGGGAGGAACCAGGAGGTGAGGCCCCCAGGAGCTGGTCAAGCATCCAGGGCCCACGGGGCAGCTTCAGTGGCTGAGGCCCAGGCCGTGGAGGAGGCGGCGGGCTTGGTGGGGGGGCCATCTTCCCAGGATGGGCGAAGCCGCTGCCCGTGGGCCCCAAGGACACCCCGTGACTGGGGGCGCCTCGGGAGTGCCTGAGCCAGGGGTGGGTGGAACACGACTGGTGCTTGTGGGGGCTGAGGCCTGGCGGTGGCTCCAGCGGCCTTTTGGGTGCTTCTGGTGGGGAGTTGGGCCAATCTCTGGGCCTCAAAGGGCCTTGGTGCTCCCCCCCCGGGAATGGGGCTCCTGCCACCCACCGAAAGGGCTGCCTGAGGTCACACGGGGTTGCCCAGTGTGGTCCCCACCACCGCCACTCCATCTCCACCGGAGTTAGCTTGCTGAGCCCCCACCCTGCAGCCACCATCCCCACTGGACCTAAAATGAAGTAGGCACAGAGGGGGCAGCAGGCCCCCAGGTCCGGCCTCTCGCCCCCCACAGCCCTGAGGTCCAGGCTCTTCCAGGACAAACGCAGGCCCCAAGGGCCACCTGGAAGCCCCCAGAGGGCAACACTGGGCCACAGGGGTCACTGCAGGGGTGCAGGGAGGCCTCGTCACGCCAGGATTCCAGCCAGCACCAAGGCCCTGGGACAGGGCAAGATTTGGGGCTGAGCCCCTGCTCCCAGCCGTCCTGTCACCCAGAAGGTTCCAGGCCCCACCCCTGCTCCGGAGTTGCAGGTCCTGGCCCCTCTGTGACCTGTGCCTGTGGTCACCTTCTTGGTTCCCCGGTCGCGCCTCCGGCATCTGTCTGTCGGGCCAGAGCCCGTGAGTCTCTGCTGGAGGCACCATCTGCAGCCCCTCGTGGGGACCATGCTTGGGCCTGAGCGACGGTGGCCTCTGTGAGGGTTTCTGGGCGGCCACTGTGTGCAGGCACTTTTAGTGGGAGTTCAGCTTGTCAGAGAGCCCCCAAAGGCCCCCATTTGGGTGTCTGGGCACAGCCACCTCCAAGCTCCTTTTCCTTCTTTCAAACGGGGAGACTGAGGTGTGGGGGCTG